TAGCTATCTCTCTAGGATTTGCATTCTCACTGGAGACCCAAATATGTGCTTCTTCCTGATATGGAAAATGTCTTCTGCACTGCAGAGCAGTACCGAAGTTTTCTGAACTCCAAAGCATCTGTGAATAAGTGGGTCTACACTGGGTTCTGCTCGGTACCTTTCCCCTACAGGAAAGGGAAAATGAAATGAAGTGTAAGATGGAGCCTCAGATTCCTGTTTGATCCACACACACGGGAGATCTATTTGAAGGATTGTGACATTTTGGATTCCCCTAATTCTGTTTTTGTTTTTTACTTTCCCAGGATATCATGTAGTGTCCCAGAACAGTACTTTAAAATTCAGAAGGTTTTTGGTTTTTTGTTTGTTTGTTATTTGATGATGAATTCTCAGCTCAAAATTTAGGGAATGGGTTTGTCCTTTTACCCCCTGCCCTACCTTCTTCTTCGGAACCTTTAATCCCAGTGTGTGAAAATCTTACTACAAGCAATAATTTTTAAGTCTTCATTGCATTTTTTTTCTCAGTAAACTCTTTAATTAAGCAAATATTGATTAGGGGCCCATCATGTGCCAGGCATTGTTTATAGGCATTTGGGGCACATCTCTGAACAGAACAGATGAAGACTTCAGGTCTTGGAACTTCTATTTTTATCAAAGAGTGCAAGCCAACACACAATAAATAAGCTTCAAGTTCATAGGAGGTAGACATGGCCTTTCATTATGGGAGTGTTCAAATGTAGAAAAGTGAAATATTTTTTCCATTTTGCCCATATGCCTAACATAATCTAACATCTAGATTCTTTATTTAACATTTTGTGACATTTGTTTTACCACATAATATATCCCTCTATTAATCCTTCTTTTCTATAGGTAGAATTTTGAATAGCACACTTGGGTGCACCCCTCACATGTTTTCTGATCCAACCTTAGAAGATGTTGTTTTTTATAGAAGGGGATACAGGCATATGGATAGTTTAAATTGGAGCTATAAATATAGGAGTTCTATATACAACAGCACAAGAAGGCTAATGGAGAAATGCCGGAGAGTGTACGTTCCCCTCCAATACAAAGAGTAGTATCCATGTCTAGAAACATGCTTAGCTCACCCTGAGAGGCCATGAAGGGGACTTCAATGAAGAAAGCAGGAGTATTGTAAGGAAGTCACTAACAATCTCTGAGTTCCTTCCCCAGGGTCAGGAACATGATCACAGTAGAGATGGAGATAAGCAGGAAAGTTGGAAAGACCTGGCCACTTAATGGGCAATTTCGCACATTTGTTTAACTTCAATTTGCCAAAATATACATTTAGAATAACAAAACTTACCGTAGGACATTACCGTTATAAATTATATAAGATAAAAATATTAGAGGGAAGTAGATGCTTAATAACTATTAGCTATATTAATGTTACTACTATAACTAAATTCCTATAAAAATAATATAGCTAGGGAAGGAATAAACTTCTGGGTCTTAGGGATCCCTGAAAAAAGGTATTCATAATAAAGCAATTATTTTAAGGATAAAAGAAAATCACAACTAAAGACTGGACTGCAGCTTCAATTAGATTGGGATAGATATAGATCCCATTATCTAATGGTTATGGGACCTTCTGCAAATTATTTAATCCCCCTAAACCTTGATTTCTTATCTATAAAATAGTATCTACCTCAAAGTTCTTATTGCATGGGCTAAATGACATATATTACATCTGAACTGTGTCACTGTGTCAATAAGAACTCACCTCATATCATCTATTATTCTAGAAAGACTATGTTACCTATCAATGCCACATTACCCTGGTAGAGCTTCACCAATTTCTCATCAAAGAAACAATCCAGTCCAACAGCCTAAAGGGCAGTGAAAGAAACAATAACAAAAAGGACACTGGGTCATTAACACTGTTTTAATGTAGGTAGCTCCAGTTTTGAAATTCTTTCATTCCCCTGAAAATTAAATAAGGGTATGTTGGAGCACCTACATAGATTCAACTACATTTCTTCATAAACACTCAATCTTAGATTTATCTTAGAAAAGAATCTATGATATGTAGATAATATCTATCATTTAAATCTATAGACATTTTATTTGTCACCAAAATCTTTTTAAAAATACTTTGGCCAGTTATGTCTGGTTTTCTTATTTTCTTAAAATTATAAAAATGTTGTAGCGCATTCCAAAGATCTACATTGTAGGATATATGATTGGGAGAGTTATTCATTGGCAGCAAAATTCTTTTTTGGAATTTTAAGATTCAATGTCTGAGAGTTTTTTTTAATTTCTGAGATTTTGGTACACCCATCACCTGAGCAGTGTACACTGTACCCGATGTGTAGTCTTTTGTACCTCACCTGCCCCCTACTCTTTCCCCCAAGTCCCCAAAGTCCAATGTATTATTCTTATCCCTTTGCAACCTCATAGCTTAGCTCCCACTTGTGAGTGAGAACATATGATGTTTTTCCATTCCTGAGAATACTGGGAATATTCACTTAGAATAATGATCTCCAATTCCATCCAGGTTGCTGCAAATATCATTATTTCATTCCCTTTTCTGACTGAGTAGTATCCCATGGTATATACATACCACATTTCTTTTTGCACTCATTGATTGATGGGCATTTGGGCTGGTTCCATATTTTTGCAATTGTGAATTGTGTATGTTAGCAGCAAAAGTGATTATTAACTTCTCTCTTACAGACACACACATGCACAGAGGGTTATTTTCTTTAATGAAATCTATTATTCTCCTTACTCTGTCAGAAAAATTATTCAAACACTGGAAACACACACACACACACACACACACACACACACACACACCCTATTCACTCTTTCAGTGCCATGCTAGGCTTACCTTGCTATTGATCATCAATTTTATACACTTTAGGGGCAGCAGTCAACTTGTAGATTGTTGTCCAGTAGAGATGCAAATAATCCCTATCTGGTGGAATAGAAAACCTCAAAGTTAGAATACCCTGGAAGACATTAGCCAGTTTTATATGTAATCTACAAATGTATCATAGTATTGCTTTTTATCTAGTTTCTAAAAAAAGTTTTGAACTGTTTCAACAGCTTACTACCTCATCTCATTAATTAATAAGTTGAATAAAATCCTTGCCATGTGCTCATTTTATATTTGCAGAACAGCCAAGCCTTTTAACCTTTTGAAAATCATTCCTTAACACCTGTATATCCTTATCACAATGACACCAAAGTCAAAATCTGTGGTTCCTGCTCATTTTCAACATCACCTAAAAAAACATGTGAACTCCTCATGAAGTTCATAGACTTAAAATTTTCAGAAACTCAGACACTCAAATAAATAAACACTATACAAATACAGCATAAGGCTCACAAAATACTCTTGATTGCAATACCATACCAACTTATGTTTTGCTCAAATAATTTAGTTCTATGAAGGCATAGATTCTGTTAGCCAGAGCTCCATTCCATTATCATTTTCTCTCTCTTGCGCTACAGACCCAAATTTTTAAAATTCTGGAATGAGTTCTGCTTTATTCTCACTGGTATCTGAATTTAGTGTTTCATCAGCTTCCATTTAAAATGCCACCTTTTCTAAAATTTCAAAACAAGTTAAGAACATTCTCTAAGTCACTTAATCTAGAAATAAAGATCTCCAACCACATTGTTCCCTGAGCAAATATTGATAGACCACAGGTAAGTGCAATGTACTCTACTGAGACCCACAGGTACACTGGTAAAGAAAATAGAGACATAAACTGTCCTCATGAAAAGCACACAGATATCTATATTTTGCTACATCCATACATACTATTGCTATTTACTAATTATTAAAACTATACCGGGGCTATGAAAGTTACTAAAATAAAAATAATTTAGATAACAGAATTGTTATCCTGTTATCTGTTATTCTGTTTAATAATAGAGGGAACATATAAAATTAAAACTAAAAACAAGAAGGAACTAGGCATTAGGAGGACTTTTTTTTTTTTGGTTCTAGAAATACTTGAGCATGGAGAAAGAAATATTGCTAAGAGAAGCCAATGTATTATGTATATAGGAGCCCTATGAGCTTCAAGAGTAGTTTGTCAGATACAATTTTCTGGAAAACCATCAGTTTGAAACTGCTCTAGATGATAGAATAATCAATTTTAAAATATACAGGGTTTTATATGTTCCTAGTTCTCATATGTTATAGTCTATTCTAGAAAGAGACATTAAATATATACTGACTTATCAATAATTAGATAATTATTAGCATATAACTTTCCTCCACTCTTGGTTACCTTTTCAACATTCTCTCTTTTACACACACACACACACACACACACAAACACACACACACACACACACACACCCCTCTTTCACCACTCCTTCAAACATAGCCCCAGACCTTCTTAAAGAACTCCAAAGAGCAATCCACTCTTTTCCAAGCCATATACTGTGGGAAAGCCTGTCTCTATTTGGTGTATCAGGAGGAGGGTTCTTAGAGACACAGTCATCTCTAGTGGTCTCTTTGCCAGTGATTGGTTTATGACTAATCTTAGGATATAATTCTAGGCAAGACCTAAAAAGTTGGCTGGGGAGCTTCTAGGAAGCTTACTTTGGAAAGGAGACACAGGAAGAGATCATCTTTTATGCTGTCTCTGGGGATGGTTATGTCTGGATGTACAGCTATCTGCAAACTAAACCAAAAGAATCACAGAAAAACTAGCATCACTCTCTGTTGCACTTCTTGTTATGTGAAATATAATAAATTTCCTAAAGTCTGCCGAGTTGGCTGAAGATATCCTAACTCGTATACCCATGTTCAAATGGTCACTTATCCTTGCAAATTTGATTTGCAAATAATTGTTCAATTTATCCCTTTCTGCTTCCCCTATTTTGGCCCAAGCTGTCATGCTCTCTTAACCAGGACCACAGAAGAAATTGTTGAGTCCCATCTAAACCATTTTCCAATTCAAAAAAGACATACTATTTTGTTTCTACTACTCTTCAATTTTCAGTCTTCTAATAGTTCATCATTTTTTTTTTCTGTGACTGCATTAATCTTTTATTGCCCAGTACACATTGGGAAGACACAGCAGGCCAGAAAGGCCTGTCCCCAGACATCCTTTCTTGAGGTCACCCTCCTTTTACCCCAAAGATCCAGGAGCTTCCTTCAGGAGCCCTGTGGACCAGTCTGTGCAACACCCACTCAGGCCTGCCCAACATAGCTGTCCTGCTGATCCCCCACCGCAGCCCAGGAGACACACTTGTCACACACACATCCAACAGCAGGGAGCAGTTTCCCCAACTTCCCTCCAGGCTCCTGGTATGAGGCTGGCATCTTGTACCTGGCCATCCCCAGGAGCCAGCCTGGTCACTGAGGCACTCGCACCTCCAGGCGGCACTCACACTGTGCCTCGCCCTGTAAGTTGGTGGCCCTGCAGACATAGATGCCTCCGTCAAAGGGGCAGGGCTTTCTAATCTCCAGAGTCAACACTCTCTGCTTGCTGAACATGCGGAAGCGGGCATCCTCTCCCAGGTCCAGGCCATTCTTGAACCAGGAAATCTTGGGCTTGGGGCTACCCCGGACAGCACAGCAGAGCATAGTGGTGTAGCCTGCGATGACCGAGCGGTTCACCAGGGGCTGGGTGAAGCTTGGGGCCTCAGAGAAGTCCAGGGCCTTATAGTTGGGTGGCTCATAGGTGATGCCTGGTCTGGGGATAAAGACGGGCTCCTTGGTGGTGGCCGCTGTGTCACTGGAACCAACCATATTCTGGCTGAAGACACGAAAGTAGTAGCCATTGCCAATGATGAGCTCTGGCACCACTCAGTGGGTGAGGCGGTAATGCTCCAAGACGGTGAACCACTCCATGGTCTTCTTGTCGGCCTTCTGCGCTGTGTACCCCCAGAGCTCCGTGTTGCCATCATCCTGGGGTGGCTTCCACTCCAGAGCCACATTAAGACCCCAGGCCTCAGTGACCCGGAGATCCTGGGGAGGACTTGGCTTGTCGACAACCTGCAGCACCAGGGTGGCCTTGTCCTCCATGTTCTCAATGCGCACGGTCACTTGGTAAGTGCCTGAATGCGCGTGGCAAGCGGCCCGGATGAACAGGATGGTGTCTGTGGGGCTGTTGCGGACGCTCACCTCCTCGCCTGCCAGGGGCTGCCCCTCTTTGGTCCAGGTCACCTGAGGCCAGGGCTTGCCCTGGAAAGGGATGAGGAGGTTCACAGGCTCCCTGACCTTCTTCTGAATGGTCTGACGCAGGTGCCTGGGCAGCTGGAGCCGTGGCCGTTGCAGGATCTCCTGCACCGTCACCGGCTCCGTGGTGGTAAGAGGGGCTCTGGGCCCTGCCATATTGTGTGCACGCACTCGGAAGAGCAGCCGGGCCCCCGTGGGCAGGTCCTTCACCCGTATCGACGTGTGCTCTGTCAGCCCCCACAGGGCAGCCACCCACTCTGAGCCGCCCTCTGGGCAGTACTCCACGCTGTAGCCATCCAGGCCTCCTGCTCCCACGCGCTCTGGGGGCCGCCACTTGAGGGAGACCGTGGCGTCAGAAATGTCCTCTATTGCCAGGTGGGTGGGTTCGCTGGGGGGACCGATGGGCATGAAGGGCTGGGAGGCAGGGCTGGGCCTGGACATGCCAATGGCGTTGACGGCGTAGACGCGCATCTCGTACACCACGCCCTCGATCATGCGCCGCGCTTCGTGGCTCAGCTCCTGAATCAGGTCGAAGTTCAGCCGCATCCACCGGTAGCTCTTCTTCTTCTTGCGCTCCAGGATGTAGCCCAGGACCGGCTGCCCGCCGTCGTAGGCAGGCGGCTCCCACTGAACGGTGCAGGAGTCCTCTCCCACGTTGCTGACCTTGGGGGCCGCAGGTGCGTCTGGCACGTCGATGACCTTGACTGTGAGGTTGACCCGGTCCTCGCCCACAGGGTTCTTCACCGTGACCGTGTAGACGCCCTCATCTTCCTTCTCTGCCCCCTCGACGGTGAAGATGCTGCAGTCATTGGTGGTCTCCACACGGACCCGGCCCTCGGTCTCACACAGCAGCTGCGTGATGGCCTTCTGCCAGATCACGGTGGGAGCAGGGTCCCCAGAGATAGGGACGTCCAGACGTAGCTTATTTCCAGCTACAACCACAATGGTGTCTGGTATGCGGCCCGGGCAGTCCAGGTGGATCTTGGGAGGTTCCTGCGTGGGTACGAAGTCAATCTTGACCTCCATGAAGTGGAGCTTGGCTGACAGGTTGCAGGCGAAGCCCTCGGGCACAAAGCTGTAGTCAGCCTCGTCGGCAGGTGTGACGTCGTCAATGGTCAGTTTGTGGACCCGCCCGATGTGGGACACCTTTATGCGGCTGTCGGGCACCAGCTCCTTCCCGTTCTTCAGCCACACGCCCCGCACATTCTCATCTGAGACTTCACACTTGAACACTGCCTGGTCCTTGGCGCCCACCGTCAGGTCTGCGACGCTCTGGTACACCTCCAGCTTCTTTTCCTGCACGATGAGCTCAGCCAGCGCCTGGCCCCCGCTGGTGCGCAACGCGTAGTGCCCCGTGTCCTCCAGCGTGGCCTCGTTGATGATCAGGCGGTGTCTCCGCCCGTCCTTCTTGTAGTTCACCATTTTTTAAATAATAAATTTCAAATTCCTAGCGTAGATTTAAACCCTTTTGTTATCTTATCTTTTTTTTTTTTTTTAATTTTTTTTTTTGTTGTTGTTTACAGAATCTCTCTCTGTCACCCAGGCTGGAGTACAGTGGTGCAATCTTGGCTCACTGCAACCTTCACCTCCCAGGCTTAAGAGATCCCCCCACCTCAGCCTCCTGAGTGGCTGGGACTACAGGCACACACCACCACACTGGACTAATTTTTTGTATTTTTGGTAGACATGAGATTTTGCCTTGCTGTCCAGGCTTATCTCAAACTCCTGCTCCTGGGCACAAGAGATCTGTAACCTTAGCCTCTCAAAGTTTGGAGATTATAGGCATGAGCCACAGCACTTGGCCTCCTCTTTTTTTAAACTTTTTTAGTTCAGGGGTGAATGTACAGGTTGGTGACCATGTGTCATGGGGGTTTATTGTACAAATTATTTCATCATCCTTGTATTAAGCCTATTACTCATTAGTTATTTTTCCTGAGCCTCTCCCTCCTCCCAACCTTCTTCTTAAAAAGAAGATTGTTTCCTTTGAGGGGACATGGATGGAACTAGAGGCCAATATCCTTAGCAAACTAATATGGGAACAGAAAACCAAATACCGCACGTTCTCACTTGTAAGTGGGAGCTAATAATGAGATCACATGGATTGTGGGAACAACACACACTGAGGCTAATCTTCTTTTTAACAGCTGCATAGTATTCCATGGTGTATATGTACCACATTTTCTTTATCCATTCTATCATTAATTGGTATTTAGGTTGATTCCATGTCTTCGCTGTTGTGAATAGTGTTGTTGGAAGTATTCCCTGTCTCTTTCTAGCGTTCTTGCTCATCTTATCATCTCACAAACAACTTATTCCATCTATATTCAACTACTGATGGCCCAATATCCCAATTTGCTGGTAATAATTGTAGTAATGACAGCTGGTACTCACTAGAGTATGCCATATGCACACATTCTGATGCTAAATAAGGTGTATCAAAATTCTAGGAGCTCAGTGATCAATGCCAAGCAAATGAGAAATGATAACAATTAAGCAAACTACAAACCTAGGAGATAGGTATTATATTTCCATTTTACAGATAATGAAACTGAGGCTCAGGACATTACATTCTGGCCCTGCTTGCAGAATGAATTACACTGTTTCTGTACCGGGACAATGTTGAGCATCTAACACAGCTCAGGATGGGCAAGAACAAACATAGTCAGCATCTCAGGTTTCCAAGATTGAAACCATTACTTTGCCCTAAACTCTTACTTTTCTTTTGCTTTCAATTCTAATTTCAAGCCAGAGAACCTTAGCAGCATTAAAGAAAATGATGAGTGTTGCTATTCAAAGTGTGGACCACAGACAGCAACAACAGCATCACCTGGGAGCTTGTTAGAAATGCAGAATAATCCTGCATCTTCTGAGTTAGAATCTGTATTTTAACAAACCTCAGGTGATTAGCAAGTACATTAAAGTTTGTAAAACACTAATTTGGAGACCTGAAAGATGTTCTAGTTATATTCAGTATTAAAAACCCTCTCTTTTTCCCCAAGTCCTGTCTTTGAAATATCACTTGCTAACGTCATTTGCAAGGCTAACCTGGATTATAGCACTCCTTTGAGAGAAAATGTGCTAATTATTCAAACAGTAAAAATAAAATATTAATATAAAAGTTAAGGAATGTTTCAATTTTATGGAAAAATAAATGAGGCCAACAGGTAGAAATCAGTTTTGTGGTTTAACAAATAATATATTGCCTGACTGTAATTTTTTTTTCTACTTTGTACTTTATTTTCCCTGAAATTCACTTCTATATTAAGTCTAAACCTAATCACATGTAGTTAACGGCAGATGGGTTCCTCACTCAAAGCATTAGAAGAAAAGCAAGAAACTTTCTTTTGGACATTGGTGCATAAATTCAAATAACTGAAAATCAACTAAGAGGATTTTACCACAGAAGATAATGGGTATTATTTAAATATTTCCAACATCATTTTATTTTCAAAGTAGAATGGAATGTGAACTAAACTTCATTTTAATATTTAAATCATATCTTTTTCTTTCAAAGTGTCTGTGGAAAAAAAAAGAAGTTCCTGTACGCATTATTTGTAATAGGGAAATGTTCACCTATAAGCTGATCTAAAACATGTCCCTTTTTGGCTGTGAGTGCCTAAGTAATGAGGCAATGGGGAGAGTAAAAGTTCCCATTCCCACACCCGCCACAGGCACCAGCATTGACTTCATGCAAGCTCTGTTTAACTGTGAACCTTTCCTGGGACTAAACATGCACAATGCATGAGATTGTATATTTGCTCTTTAATTCTTTAGTTTTTGTAAATAAAAATGTCCTGCAGCGTTTAGCTTTTGTTCATTTTAGATACAACTGTAAAAGTGGAAAATAACGTAATTTCATTCAACTTATAGTAGGTTCTGCTTGCTGGAAAATAATACTGTTGTTCAGTTGAGTCAGTCCTTCAAAGTAATCAAACCAACTAAACTCCTAGAATATTCCATAAGAGTAAAATTGTTTTCTAATCTTCACTGAGATCCTATTCAATAAGGCCATTTTCTTATCAAACTATACATTTGAGAACAAAATATCATATTCTAACAGGTACTATAAACATTTTAATTCTGTTAGGGCCAAAATAATGATAAACATGGATAATAGTAATAATCTCTTTCCCCAAAGAGTCTTAGAAATCCTAATTTACTGACTGGTAGCTACTTTCACTAAGTAGAAATACAGTAATTTAATAATCTTACCATAGCAGTTTTCACTAAAGAAAATTAACTAATTCATTATTGCTTATAATTTGCTGAGGCATAGCTGCCATATTTGTGAAATCAGCAGGTTCTGGAAAAAAATACAAGTTTTTAAATGAATGTTCAATTTGTCCCTAAACACATAAATGATACAATTACTTAGCTCCCTCTAGTGCCAATTTCTAATATAAACTTAATTATAATAACTGTATTCACCATGCAATTTTGAAGCAAATTAAACTTTTACTTGGCAATAATTAAGTAAACATTCAAGGGTTTTATAGGTTGAGTTTGAGATCAGAGCCCAGCAAGATTCATGGATGACGATGCTGTCACAGGGAGGCTTGTGGCTGCAGTTATAACAGTATTTCTTTGCAAATTGTATTTCATAGGTTTCAACTAAACACAAATAAACCAATAGAGTGTAAAAGAATGTTGATAAAAGAAATTAAGGCTTGTCATTGAATATCTTTGTACACTCCACATATATTTTATTTTCAAAGTAGAATGGAATGTGAACTAAACTTCATTTTAATATCTAAATCATATCTTTTTCTTTCAAAGTGTCTGTGAAAAAAAAAGAAGTTCCTGTATGCATTATTTGTAATAGGGACATGCTCACCTATAAGCTGATCTAAAACGTGTCCCTTTATGGCTGTGAGTGCCTAAGTAACGAGGCAATGGAATATCTTTGTTCCTACTCCACAAGTTAAGTGAGCTGTAACAATCTCACTTAACTTGCGGTTTATATTGATTTTTCTTTGAACAAACAAATTTAAAATCCAAGAAGAAAGACACATTATGCTTCTATCAAGGTATGCAGAATAAAATTTATAAAATTTAATTTTCAATTGTAGATGAAAACAGAGTAGGCAGAACATATTTTTTTTAAAAAAAATTATAACAAAAACGCCTAACTTAATAAAATGACTTATTAACGTATGTTTCCTGGGGATTTCTCTTAGACTGAAGCATACAATTGAAGAATTTTATTTCTAAGTAAAGGTAACATAATTACTTTTATTAAGAAAATTGTTTTGTATTGAGTGCATTTAAAGAAAAGACAACATGGTTTGGAGGAAGAGGAGAGTAGTCAAAAATAGAATCTCATTCAATGAAAAATTGTAATAAAACTAGTGGATTTTCCAGGAACACAACTTTCCACAACAGTTTGTATATTCTTTGCTCTTTTATTTTTAAATATAGTCTGAAGGCTGAGAAGGATGAGAGCACGAATTTAGGAATCAAGTGATATGTATTTGATTAACAGAACTATGGTTAGTCTGTAAAATATAGATATTGCTTCCCAATTAATAAGGCTCTTATGAAAATTAAAGAAAACGTATATGTGAAACACACAGCTGAAAATGACAGTTAATAACTTTTTTTCTGGTGTGTTAGTAATTTTTAAATGCTCACAGAATAAAAACACATAATTGAATTGTACTTGTGATCATTGGTAACATAAACATTATTCCTTAGTGCTGAGAATTAGTACTTTTAAAAATTAACTTATTTTTATTTCAATAAACATTTTTGTCCCAAATAAAAAGAAGAAATATTTTCTAGAATAATAGGTGAGATTTTTACTTCTGATTATTATTATTATTACTGAGATGGAGTCTTGCTCTTGTTGCTCAGGCTGGAGTTCAATGGCGCAATCTTGGCTCACTGCAACCCTTGCCTCCCGGGTTCAAGTGATGTTCCTGCCTCAGCATCCCGAGTAACTGGGACTATAGGTACCGGCCACCATGCCCAGCTAATTTTTTGTATTTTTAGTACAGATGGGGTTTCACAATGTTGGCCAGATTGGTCTCGAACTCCTGACCTCAGGTGCTGGGATTATAGGGGTGAGCCACCGCACCTGACCTACTTCTGTTTATTTGTGTCATAATGACCCTGATTCAATTTGAATGACTGGACATAAATTCTCTGTGGAAGGCAAGAGTCTTGGCCCCTGTATTTGTTCCTATTCCTTCTAACTCCTTCTGCTTGCAATTTCCATTTGGCAAGGTTAAACAAGTGCCTTTCTTTTTGTGCAGCATTATGGGTAATTGCCTTCCAGAGTTGTTCTAATAAAAACAAATAAGTAAGCCACATGCAGCGAGAAGCTTTGGAAAATGCTCTGTACTAATACAATTGGTTAATTTTATTGTGATAAATGTTAATGAGACAACTTACCTGCAATGCTCGTAGAGAGAGCTCTCCTC